AAACTCTTCCATGAAAGAGACAAAATGTTGAAACAGTACTGTAAGGGAATACCTTGAATGAAGCTTCAAAAAGTCAGTAAGCGTGTTTAAAGAGGGATCACTTGCATTTTCCATTGGCATCGTCTCTCTCTAACCATGAAAGGATGCAACCTTTCTCCTTCGTAAAGTCAACCAAGATCGAAGCTTTGAAAAACTCAAATCAAAATTACGAGATAAGTAATTGTTTATTTGATAACGTGGGTAACATCCAATCATAGCGATGGAATTAAGAATTTAAGATATATATATATATATATATATATATATATTAACCTCGATATCCAACCCGTTATGTTCCATATCAATCGGCTGAGACGTGGTGAAGATTGTTACAGCAACAATAGTTGTGAACGTAGAGGTGGTGGTAGTTGGTGGACGATGGTGGCTATGGAGGACGTGAAGATGGTGGATAGTGGTGGTAGTGGCGGTCGACAAGGGTGGAGAAGGTAGTTGTGACTGATGAGGTGGAGGTAGTGGTGGTGGTGGGTAGTGATAGTGGTAGCCAATCGTGGAGGTTGTGGTTATCGTAGGGGTAGAGGTGGTGATGGCCAACGGTACTACTGGTGATGCCGGTGGGCGGAGGTGGTTGGTGGCCAACGATGGTTGTTGAGTTAGAGTAAGTGGTGGTTGGTGGACGACGATGGTTATAAAGGATGTGAAGATGGAAGATATGAGTGGTGATGGTGGTGGACAATAGTGTAGGAGGTGGTTGTGGCCAATGTAACGGAGGTAGTGATAATGATGGGTAGTGATAGATGGAAAATTATTTAATGCATTTAATTAAGGTATATATTATGATTTTTTACAATTTTCGTTATTCAAGTATGATTAATTTTGCATTTATTTATTTTTTTATGACATTTAAAATAAACGTGATTTAGTTTTTCATTTAAAATATTTATTTTCAATGACGTAAATTTATTTAAGATTGTTTTTATAATTTTCGTCAAAAATCACATATCATATCCATAATTAATCGAGGTTTTTTTTTTCCAAATATAATAACAATTTTTTGTCAAAATATCATATATGATATTGATCGTATTAAACTTAAGTGGAAAATAAGTGCAAGTTAATAACAACATTACACATGATATTTGTAAAATTATGAATTATGTTTTAAAATATATGTGATCTTATACATATTATGTTCTGCTACCTGTCACATTTGATTTTATTTTCATTATTTTTTTTCAATGTTTAATTTAAATCACTCATTTTCACAATTTAAATCACATGTGATTAAAAAAAATGAAAAACAATCAATTAACTGTGAATCAAATGTAATTTGACAAAAATTATAA